GTGCAAATTGCAATTAGTGCCTAGTTGAGAGTGTGAGACACTGACTAAATGAGTGATTGAGAAACTGACAGGCCGATGCACCGAGCACCGAACAGCGAGCACCGAACACCGAGACCCCGTGCCCCAAATGATATAATTACGTTTCAATTAGTGCAGCAGTCTGCTGCCACATGCCGCAAAACTTGCAACAAATTATATTAAATGAGGAAGCCAGATGCAGGCAGTCGGATGTTGCGAAGGGGGATTTGGGTAAAGCCCATTAAGGCGTTGATATACTGACATTGATAGTCGGAGAAAACGTTTCAGCTCAAGTTCTCTGCTCTGCAAATGCCGATTTCATCTCGGCCGCTGGCATACAAACAAATGTTTCTGCTGATACGAGAATTAATTAAGCTCCCAGAGTGGGGATTGCGAAAATGAAGTTGCTGCTAAAAAACAAAAAATATGGGTCAGAACGTCAAGTCAAGTCAACTGTGGGACGGGGCAGCTCATCGCCAAACTTTAAATATGAATATTCTTTGGAGGTTTGGGCCGGCAAGCCACAAATTTATGCAACCTCATGTCGCCTTTCTTCCTGCCCAACTTTTCAAAGCCGAAAGCAATTTGTCATTGCAGACTGTTGACAGCATCGTCGTCGCTGTCATTAAGTCCGTGGAGAAGGAAACTCCCCTTAAGCAAAAAATTAGTTGACTCCAATGCCGGAAACTGGCATTCGTGGGATATAATGCGTTCACTTCAAAGTGAGGCATAAAACTCGCCGCGAGATGGGCGAACTATTGGGTGAGTTTCGAGTATTGGGCCAACCTTCGAATTCGGCATAAAATCGGTGGCAACGCGGCAAAGTCGTTGGGTTGGTGTACCCGTATATGCAAATGCAATGGGTTACTTTCCGTGGGCCAACCAACAATAAAAATCGAGCAGAAACGAGGAAGCCAATAAATCTGTGCCGCCAAAGCGGCTCGTAAAAATGGACAAGTTTATGTGAGTTTAAGGGTGGCGAAAGGGGTTAAGAGCAGCTGCCATTTATTCCAAATACATTTCGAAAAGCTCTACGATTTTAGCCGTTTCTACCTACTATATACGAGTATATGTACATATACCTGTGTCGCCTGGCTGGCTGACTGCCTACAGTTTGACAGGAACTGGCAAGACATTTTATGCACTTTTCTTTTTTACGACCCACAGGAATTCGCCGCGAAGAGCTAAGAGCTTGTAATATGACATCACAAAGGGAACACAGGACCTTCGACAATGTCCTCACTTGCAAAATGGAAATGTTTGCTTATGCCTCACTGAACAATTGTTGATGGGGCTTGAAGGGGCTGGGAAAACGCTGGGAAAAACGTTTTATGTGCGAATAATAAGTAACAATCATTTGTGGATTCTATCAGCAGTGTTTGCACAAGTCCTTTTGTCCTTCTAGCCATTTTTTCCCCCACCCTAATTTGTATTACTTTGTGACACAGTTCTCTTGGCTTTTATAAGCAGGTGCCGTCTCGACTCGAATTACTTCGTTACTTTAGTAACGAAGAGCTTGTGCTCAATTTCACAGGAAGGAACGAGAGATGGATTATTATTTGATATCTCGTTGGATTTTCCGAACTGCCATCTGCCAAACATTAAATGACTAAAGCGAGCCGAAAAGTTCAAAGTGCACAGTTCACAGCCTGCTTGTCCACATTTCCAGGGGGAAACCCTACCCAGCATAATAAGTCTTAATAAGCCGAGGTCGTTCGATGTGCGGGTTAATTAAAAATTATTACCAAAGAGATTAACCGAAAAATGAGTGCCGGCGGGATATACATATGTACTACAATGGCCAGATATTAGTTTTCAGCGCCCTCATGGCTTTTCACCCTGACTTTTCTGTTCATTCTCAGGGATTCTGATCTGTGGCGACAAGTGTTTATGTAACACTTAGATTTCCCATCATCGCCCATTTACTCTTATTTGAACTCTGGTTTCACACATTTCTCGCAAGTTCATTGACTGAGTGTACTTAATAGCCAAGTTGTTTGCTTTTCTTGTATTTATGGCAACATTATTTGTTAATGACCTCAAACATGTACATGAACATATACGAGTATATGTGAAGCATACTGCTTCACTAAATCAAATGGGATGTAATGTATCTTCTTTTGAAATTGTTTGATTTATATATCTTATAGATATTTTAAGATATATATACGCAATTCATTCGATTGCCGTTTACAATTTGCGTGTTATTGAAAACCAAATGAAAACGCCTTGCGGCTTTGCTTAAGAGCGCATCGCAAAAGAAGTTGTTCTAGATTCAATATTCTCCATAAGATAGCCTTCAGCCACGTGCCCTTTTCCATATTTTCCCCTTCCGCTTTTCATTTGTTCTGCGCCTATTAAGGCTGACCGCATAAAAATCTAGGGTGTGGTCATATAAAATAATAGAAATTATGTTGATTAGGAACTCGGACTCGGCAATCAACACCATGCGGGATGGCCAGCGAGTAGTGACCAGTGACCACCCACTTCTTTGGATATTTACACCAGAAATAGTGCCATATCTATGCCATTCGGCTAAATATTTTTTGCACCACCAGTGGGAGGATAAGGGAGCCAGAAACAAGAGCCGTCTCAGCATTCTTATAATTATAACATGCTCAGCATCCATATCAATATATAGTAAAGTTGCTGTCGACCCGGGCGCAAATTCCATTAGAGCACACAGGCGCCCTGGGGTGGGGGGCACTACGAGAAGTGGGTTCTCCGGGGGAAAATGGGGGATATGGGGGAGATGGGGTCATGGGGAGTTTGCCTAAGTCTCAGGCCCAGCACGCACTCAGAGCCCATTTCCTCTGCAAGTTTATTCGATTAACAACAATCAGGCCGGGCCAAAGTCGATTGCTGCTGAGGGAAAAGACATAGCTGTCGCAGACATCGGCATACAAAATATTCAATTTAAGAAGTGAATTTTCTGATTCATACAAAATATTCAATTTAAGAAGTGATTTTTCTGATTCCTATAGATTTTGTGTTATATTAAATATCTGCAGTACGTTTGAGTACATACAAATTAATAATCGTTTATGTGGTAAATAAAAATATTTCGAATACTAAACGTTTTTACATATCTAGCCATAATGTGATATAACGTTTTTCAATGCTCCTGATTTTCAAAACTTTTCTTTAAGGTACCTTATCAGTGAAATAAAGTTCTTGCAGTGCAAGGTAAACGACTTAAATTATGATTTTCTGTTTTCATTATGGGTGGCAATTAATTTCCCCCAGTGCAGAGGCGCTCTTGCCAAATGAGCAAAGGAAGCTAAAAGGAAACAGGGGCGTAGGCTAGGGGCGAAAAGAGGGGCTGCGAGCTGTGGAGGCAGAAAAGCCATTTACACTTCCCCGTAATTGTAAATTATGTGCAACTTAGAGGAGAGAAGTGAGTACTCCCGGCTGACAAGTTCCAGGGGCGGCGGGCTTTAGTGGGTTAAAAGGGGGGCGGTTGTAGTGGGTGGGTGTGTATAACTGCCAGCCTCACATGCAAATTCAATTAGCACACGGCGAGCACACACAACTTGCTGTCTAGTGTAAGACGGCGGCGGGGGAATCGAATTAGAGGATGCGCCAAAAAACAATCAAAAAGATACCAAAATTGAAGTCTTGACTCGAGTCGATGAATGGGGTCTCTTTGTTTCGCCCATTCCCCCACCAAAAACCACAATTAGGGTTAATGACATGATGATAAATTGAAAATGTTGGTTATCGGGGTTTTTGGGTTGCGTGCAAACCTGATCAAATTCAATTATATACATTTTGCCAACACACTACGTGGGTTTGTCTACATCTGATTTCTTCTCGAGTGACACATTTCTGTTCTATCGCTCTACGCATGTATATCTCTGGATGGGATTGTCGGTCGTTTCGGCTTGGTCAGTTAAGTACCAGTCTAACTGGCTTTTATCTTTATATATGGTCCAAATCGGTTTGTGTGGGTGTTTTGGGTGTAGTCATGCTAATGCCAAATCACAAATGCGAATGGCTCGTTATTCGCTAGGCTGCGCGTATAGGGTGTTGATTGTGAAATCTTAAAAAAGTGCTATTGGCACCCTGTACGAGTTTCTTTCTACTTATGCAAATCTCTAAATAGACACACATTGGTCACTCGATATGCGCTAAGAATGCGAACTAGAAGCTAAGTCGCTGTCGAATCTGAAACTGTATGCCATATCTATTAAAATGCACAAGTATTTTTCACTCTGTTTTCTGTTGTTATGCCAATTCAAATGATGCCGAGTGCAGTTTAGTGTGAGCAGAGAGAAAAAGGCGACTTAGAGCTAATTTGTTGCCTGGCGATATTAAGTGACTGGGTTTCCAAAAGGGGGACTTTCAGCTGGCAGGCGGCGTGGAGGACGCATTCTATGCCGGGGAGATAAATCAAATGCAAAGTTTACTTGTTGACTTTGCGGACGGTCGGGGAGGGGAGGGGGTGGTTTGAGGTTGAGGTTTGCTGCTCAGCAGATTTAAATGCCAAATGTATACAGCTTACAGCTAAGAGGGAGGCGAGTGTGGACTGGGCGGGTAAGCTAAATATGGCTTTCGTCTATTTTTAGCATTACGGGCGGAGCACTGCCCTCTTTTCGACCATTTTTGTTTGTTTGCCGCTTACCAAGTTTTTTGGCAGCTTAAGAGCTTCGCAACTGCATCAGCGTGGCGAAAGCTTAGCGAAGTATCTTTTGACGAATTGAGATACTTAGCCAGGGGATTACTTCAGCTGTAATTAGCTGCACCGAGCGATGCTCAAGTGCTTCACAGCCCTAAGGGATATTTTATCTCTATTAAGAAGCGTGGCATTTTACAGTCAGCTACGAAAGTTCCAATATGAAATGCGATTGAAGCCGTTTAAAAGATGAATTTAAAGTTACCAATATGTACAAACGCATGTGCATATATTTCGAAGAATGATTTTGTAAAATTTATTTTGAATTCCCGCTTAACTGAGAGTTGCAACTCGAGTGTGGACTCACCGTATTCCGCGGACATGGCGCACATGGGCTGGTGGTGGTGCGGGTGTGGGTGGTGCGGATGCTGCGGACAGATGCCCTCGTGCGGATGCGGTGCGATGTAGTATTCCGGCGGATAGAACTCGCCCGTATACGGGATGTACAGCTGGCCCGGCGGCAATGGTGCAATGCCGTTCGTTCCGTTACTCAGACCGTTCACCTGACCACCGGAACCGCCACTGCCGCTGGACAGGCTGCTCACGCTGCTGGCGGAGGAGCCACCGCCGCCGTTGGGCGAAATGCCACCGCCGCCTGCCACACCAGATCCGCCACCGCCACCGCCACCGTGGCCGTTTTCGTGGGGCGGCGGTAGATTCGGGGGCGGTGGCGGCAGTGGGGCATGGTGCAGGGCATGGGGCGGCGGCAGGTGGTGGTGATGCTGCATGGCCGCCATCAAGGCCAGCTGCTGTTGTGGATGGTGCAGCGCGCACACGGGCGGCACAATCTGGGCGCCCTGCGGCGGAGTTGCGGTTTGTTGCAACAAAGGCGGCGATGCCGGCAGCGAGCAATTCGATGAGCCGCCATCCGAGGGAGAGTGTTGCTGCTGCTGCTGCTGCTGTTGCAACTGCTGCGGGGCATGTTGCTGCTGCAACTGCTGCAAGGGCTGCGGCGGTTGCGGCGGCTGCTGCTGCTGCTGCTGCTGTTGCTGCACCAACAAGTGTTGCTGCGGTGCCGGCAACATCACCATGGTGCAGGCGGGCGAGGCCGAATTGCTATTCAGACTGGTCGTTGATGAGGTTGTCGAGGAGCAACTGCCACCCGCATTATTGTTGCTAATTATTGTTCCGTTGGTGTTGCTTATGCTGTTGTTGCTAATGTTGCCGTTGTTGTTGCTGCTGCTGTGTTGCTCTGCAACATTCAGTCGCACCATGGTATTCCGTTTTCAAACTCTGTCTGCCCCGTTTCGGTTTTTAGGCCACTCTTAGCATTTTTCAGTTTAATTATTATGCGTTACTTTATCTATCTGCAAAAGAACACAGTGTTTGTCTTAAATTAATAGTTGCACACAGGCGAAGCGACTGCGTCTCTTTGTTACCAATCCAATAACGTTATCATTTCTTTGCTGCGATAAGAGCGGAGACAAAACAATCCACCCACCCACTGGCCCCCGGCCAAGGTCATCAGAAGAAATACTAAGAATTCTACTACTCTGTCTTCGAAGAATTTTAAGTGCGAAAAATTCACAGAAAGCTGGTTTATTACTATTTCATTTAAGCCCCTGCAGCTGGTAAATTAGACTTAAATTAGACTTGAATTTGTAGTGTATCTTATTAAAGTGTATCCATTGGGGAAGCGCTAAAAAGATTAAAAAAAATCATCCGATTTGTAGTGAACATTTTCATATTTCTAGGCCAAAATGAGCAGGGACCACACATGGAATGTCAACACATGTCTTGTGATTTTCAATTCACATTAACCGAATGTTTATGAATGAAAGATCAATGACGAAAGACTTCCGTTCCACACTGAATTTCCAGGAACATCAACGATAAGATTAAAGATGCTGCTCATGTATAATATTTGCCATGAATCCAGTACTAGACTAAATCAAATCGAAATTATCTAGCGAAAATGCTGTCAGCATCCCAGGCCAAACGGCAATTGTTGTTTTTTTTCGTGTGCAGCCAAACAATTGCGAATTGTAACCAGAATTGCGCATTGTGTCAATTTGACAATAATAATTGAAATATTCTCACAAAAGGCACAAACCTACATAAGTACAATGAGGGTTGGGGAGGGGGGAAATTGAGCGGGGCTGATTGCTGGGGGAAACACCACCCACATGCATTCATGGAAAAAACACAGTATAGCGACAAACACGACGCAGATAAGAGTGAAAACTAGCTAATAAGAACAACAACAGCAACAGCAATAACAGCCACCGCGAACAGTACAGCAGCGGGCACTTAAATGAAACCCCGCAAATAACAAATGGGCAGAAAAAACAAAAAAAAAAGAAAAATTGTGGTGGAATACACAAAACAGAAAGACGAAACTGCAGAACAAAACAACAATGGCAAAATTAAAACGTAAGCGTGTCTTAATCGTTCGATTTGACATTCCCCCGCATTCTTTTATGTACTGCAAACAAATATATATATTTCTAAAAAAAAATAGCATTAGTATAAAAAAATATCATAAGATAACAGCTGTAACACAAAGCTTTGTTTTAGGTATTAAAACCTTAGAAACGCCGCGAAGATTAGTTTCGAATTTTGTTTTTCAAATTTGAAGCAAATTTTGAAACCCTTTCCCACTTTCTCCAGCTCCATTGTCTGAAGGGATTTGCACCACCCGTTTTTTTTTCAGTATGTAAAGAAATTTGATGCCTGCGCTTTGTTGTTGGGTGTTTTCATTTAGCTGTTAATGCAGCTTTACTTTAATGGGTTTCTTTTTGGCCCTTTCGCTCGTTACGTCTGTCCGCATTTATCGCACCTTCCACCAACAACTGACCAAACGTCTTTTTTACCTTCTTTTTTTTTGACAATGGTGTTGGGTGTTGCATATTTGAGGAGTGAAAAAGGTAGGGTTCAGTGAACCCCTACTGACGAAATCATTTCCATTTCGGGGAGCACTGAGTTTCCGCATCATCGTCCAAAAAATGTGAAGCACGTGAAAAGTGAAAGAAATGCATTCCATAAAAGTTCCCAGTTCGATGAAAAAATGCAAATGATGTTGATTGAGGAGATATAAAGGTTTTTTTTCTTGGTATAAAAAAAAAACGTTATACTCTGTGAAAGCAGTACAATATGCTTATAAAATTAGCTTAGGAAAGAACACATGCCATGATTAATGGCCTTTAGTGCTCATGCATTCAAAATGCAGTAAAGTTTTAATTGCCAATGATTTATATAAGCTTGCAACATAGTTATGTTTGCCACAACGCCGACGATTCCTTACAAATTCCAACTGCTAACGGCTTAAAGATACTTCAGAACACCACTCCTGCTGAAGATGGCAATCTGAATGGAGTTACCAACTTTTACATAGCCCCACAGCAACTTGCCAGACATTACAGACATTATCATGAGCCAGAAGTAGAACAATCTGTTTGCGCTTAGGAATTTCCATTGCAAATGCTTTGCGTGGGCTGCATTCTAATTGATTTAGTGCGTCTGCACCGCCAGCAATTACCACCAAACAGTTGCTGTTCCCTGCTGCATAATGCTTTGGGGCCAAGAAGAAGTGCCACACGAGGCACCCTGGCTAAGAAGTGGAGTCCAGGGGCGTGGGGAGTGGGGGTTTAAGCTTGAGCTTGAGTAGGGGGCGCTGCAGTCACAACAACAGAGTGAATGAAGTGCGACTGTTGTCACCTGTCTCAATATGCACTCTCGTACCTGTCTCAAGTACTCCCGAAGACCTCGGTCTTGCCCTCTCTCTCTTTCCCTCCCTCTCTCTCTCTCTCTGCCCCACCCACGAGCCTCAGCTGCTGCAGTTCACACCTTTGCACACACACTCACACACACACACACCCACTTACACGGGCACAAAGAATGTCAAATGTTAATTCAATTGGTGATGGTTAAATTCACATTTGAACTAAAATTATTCCACGCGTGTGTAAAATAAGAACGCTACGCTTTTTTCGGAGAAACTCTTTCTCTTGGAAAAAAGATTTCAAAATTTCAAATTTCAGAAACTAAATTTTGCTGAAAATCAAATTAGTTGTGACTGGAAATATATCAATGAGTTTCTGGCAGCTAAATTACTGGCAAGTGTTGAACCTTTTGACAATGCAAGCCCATCTAATGTTCTCTTCTTGCTGATAAGAGATTCCAACAGATTATAGCTTTAAGTTAGATTTCATTTGGCATTTTTGTTGCGTTTTTCGGAGTGTGGCAGACAATGAGGCACGCACCTCCAGCGACGCCAGACAAGCCAGGTGAGCTGAGGTGAGAGGGCGGCACAGTGTGAACTGAGACGGAGGAGGCCACGCGGAAATCTACGCAGCTTAGCAATGTGCCTCTTTCCACTTTTTGTGTTTTTGTTTTTCTTTCGGTTTTTTTTTTTCTTTTCTTTCGTTTTTTTTTTTTTTTTTTTGCTATATTTAATGGCAGACAGATGAAGAGGAGACATTCGTAGACTTTTTTTCTTAACACCCGCCGCATTTGTGTCAAAAGTGTCTAGACCGGCTTCAGGTGGTTACTGAGTGAAAACTTGCCACCGGGTTCTTATTTTGTCAGTGGGTGGTACCTGGATAGTGGGTGCTGTGGGTGGTGGGTGGTGGGTGGCGGGTGCTGTGTGTCGAGGCCACTCAACGGCAACGCATTTGCGACACGTTGAGCGTCTTGATGAGGCCATTTGTTGGAGTATCGGAGGAGCACCTGTCCCTCCGCATCATACCACCACCTCCAGCTCCTATTCCACCCACTTCCCAATCCGAGCTGTCAACGGAATCTGAAGGTGTCGTCAGATCCGCCGCTGTTGAAGGTGCCAAATGTCTAATGAATTATTGAGCAGAGCGCAAAGTCGTGATGTGGCCAACAAGTCACTCAAAAGGATGTCAGAGTGCTTCAGCTGCCTTAAACATTGCTAAATTTGAGGTAATTTATTTATATATAAACTAGGAATCTTATACATGTCGCTATCACATCTTTGTAACTTCCTAGATAACAAATAATAATAATAAAATTGAGAGAATTAACCTAGTACTTCTGCGTAATAACTAAATAATATGATGCTATACTGCAATTGACAATATAAATTAGCTACGATGAAACAAGCATTTCGTTGTGTCAATCAATTTAAAATAAATGGTTCTCAATAATAGCACCAAAGACTATTAGGACTAACCGAACAAAGTAGCCATTGGCTTAACTTTCTTCCCTCACCACGAATAACAATTACCAGTAATGAGTATTTTGCAAGTTTAGTATTGCCTTAAAAAGTAAACGAAATTAGCATTTCTCGTGCTCGACAGATTGTGGATTGAGTTAGTGGAAGTGCTAAATATTTCAGGGCTTTTCCTTTGGGCCAACTCAACACTTTCCCACTCACGGAAGCCGAAAGACAAAAGCAGTTCTTCTCCCACCTACGATTCTACTAGGCTTTTCTCCAGCTGGCGGTGGTGGAGCCGCTTAGCAAATGGCTTACTTTGTGTGCAAATAGTAATGGAGCAGAGGCAATTTTTCTAACGGTAATTTCTAACATTTACCTAGTTACCGTTAATAGACAAGTTGGCCAAGTTGGCCAGAGCCAAGACATGGAAAAATGTCTAGAAAGAGGCAGCCGAACGGCGGTGCAGAGCGGGGAGGGGACTGCAGTCAATGGCGGCCATTTCACAGCTTTCTTTCTTTTCTGCGCTCGAGTGCGTCGTGTCTGGAAAATTCTGCAAGGGGCAAAATGGAGGGGGGGCGAAATGTGGAAAATGCTTTGGTGCGTTTTATGTCGTGGCACATTTTCCCCTGGCCAAGCTCAACGACTGGTTATCGGTTCCGTTTAGAATGGTTTCTGGTTCAAAAAACCTCAATTCAGGCCAGCCAAGCACCGGCAAACTGCCACCTGCCACATGCAACATGTCTCACATGCTGCAGCACCACTTAATTGCATAACTCTCCCACCGAATACCTCAATAATTTCCCGGCTAACTTACACAAAAATAAAGCCCAAAAAAAAAAAAAACACATGACAAGATTTTACTATGTGCAACAAATTGGCCACTAACAACCGAACAACCTGTTGTATTGGCCAGCTTCTTCGTTTAATTACAGACACACACACACAACACACTATGTTAATAATTTGGTTTTTTGGTATTTCTGGTTATTGTTTGCATTTTTCACTGCTGTACTTTTTTTTTTTGCTTTAACTTCAGTTGCATAAGGCGGCGTAATAAAAACAATGCAACTACAATTTGTGGCAGCATTGGCGGCTAATTACTGCTATTGCATAAAGACAACTACTTTTTTAAGTATGAGTGGCATGTGAGCAGGTTGATGACTCAGGTTTGCGAATGCAGATGCA